CTCTACTAGGTAAACTGGACTCTACCACAAACACACCTGTAACCTGAGTACTTAAGACTGCAATTATACAGTATGTGAAGAAGCAGAAGACAGCTATACCAAAAATATTGAGCTGTCAGTTAAATATTTACTACATCAATTCCCTACTTGCTGTGTTGAGATATATATTATTTCAGCAAACCTGTGATTAAATATTATTGTAAATTTTGCCTGACAACCAACTCCCATTGTTTGTGTAAATAGCACCCAGCCACCTAAGATTTATTCTGACAAGTGAGTAAATAATTCAGGTATTGTGGTATGTAGCTAGCCTACAGCAGTCAAATATTCCTCTCTCAGATGTTTTAAAATTAATACCAGGGGATAAATCAATTAGATTATTAACAGAAGATCCTGATGCTCCAGGGGGATGATTGATATGATTCTCTATCAAAAACTAACAGAATGTCTCTATGGGGAGCCAGAGACAGATAAAAAACATAAATCCAGGGATGGATGTTGGGCTCACACTAAATCCTAGCTCCAATTTAAGAACAATTGGTTCTTATATCATGTCTCTGCTCAATGCTCACCCTTAGGAAGGAAGCACAGAAGACATGGGTGCTATAGCCAAGTGTGGTGGAGAAACTGGATGGTGCTCGGCTATCAGATAGAATAGCATCTGGGGTCTTCAAACCTTGTTTCCAAACAAGCAGCCATCTAAGTAAGAGGTCAACGAATTCCACACAGAAGAGGCACTCTAACTTCCATGGCCCAAGGATTGTAAATCATATCATCCAAAACCAAAGATGGGAATTAGTATCCGAGAGATTCTGGTTTCCGGAGGCTACGATGACATTTTCGAAAGCGAGACAGGAAATAAGCCGCTGGTGATTTCCCTCTAACCGTAACTGAGGATGGGAATAGACTGGTTACCAAACAGAGAGTATTGGAGAGATGACTATAGGAGATCAAAATGATAAACCTGACTTGAACGCTTAAAACCTTGTCACTTGATCCCCACTCTGATACACTTTAGGCCTGATCTGGATTTCAATATTTTATGTGTTGTTCGGGGTTGTTTTTTTTCATATTGGGATTTATCTCATGTATTTTGTCCTCGTGGGTAGCCTTCTTGAATCTTTGTTATGTGTTTTTCTGATTTTCAGTCTGTGAAACCCGAATTCGTGAACCCCTAGAGACAACAACTGGCATAAGGGTTCCTAAGGGTTCAGGTGGGGAAGTGGTAGGTAAAGGGAGCTGCTACCAAGGAGCTCAAGAAGGAGAGAATGTTTGCAAGTGGATTTGGATAGCTGTGGGAAACAACCAGGAAGAGAGGGTTTGTGGACAAGCTCTCAACATTAAGGAGTCTGGGAGGCCAGGGCGCCCATGGAAGCAGGCCTTCACATTCCTGGGTTGGAGATGCATTCCTGTCACAGTCTAAGTAAAAGTTAGTCCCCTCCATGAGCCCCCATAATAATGCCAATTTTGCAGTGCTGTTTGCAATCACATGGACACCCACTATACTCTTGAAGGCTAACTGCTCGAAGGCTATTTGCCTGAAGATTGTCTGCCACCAAGAGCTATCAGACCCTATTGTCCGCCCCACCCTAAGTAGGGAACACTCCCTTATGATAAAGATCATAGATTATTCCCATGGAAAAGAGTTCAAAGACACCTAAGGTCAAGCTAGCTCAGAGAAGCCCATGGTGAGGCTGCCATCCTGACTCTAGAATCCGCCCATCTTATTGCATATGTACCTTTCTGTCACATGGATGCCCTGTGTCTCCCCTTCCTATTGCATGTATACCCCTAGCTTATCCCCCTCCTGTTATGTGTATGCCTCTAACACGGCCTCTTCCTGTTATGTATGTGCTTACCATAGCTTGCATGCCCGAGATTATATAAGGCTGTGAGAGAATACATTAGTCCCTCATCCTGGTTCCAGTCTCCATCGGAAAAGGTGAGACCTTGCCTGCCTTGTCTTATGTCTCTTTGATTTACCCCTCAATTACACAACCACCCCTTGGACCCATGCGTGGATGTGGGCCTGGATCCCACAGGTAGCAGTTGTACAATACTGCTTAAAAGTGACTAAACTATGAAATGATATATCTGTATCATCCCCTAATAAAATGTTTTTTTAAAACTGATTATGAATAATATTTGGCTTCATAGATGGGTTTTTTTCTTTGTAAATCTTAATGCAGGCACATTTAGTGTTTGTTGTAAAGTGCTTGAAAAAATAAATGTAAATTATCTTCTCAGGAAACAATTCTTTTGGAAAGGTGCTTGCTCACCTTTAGTTATTATGCTGATATCATATCATAAGATGATAATACTAAAATCAGTGACATAAATTTAATGCAATCCAGGGCTCCAGTTTAAACTTTAATCAACCCCAATGTCAAATCTCTGATTATCATATGCCCCACCTAATGAGTAACTAATTGAAGGGTAAGATTTCAATTTGATTGCAACACAGTATGTACAAATGCTACCACTGGTTCTTTTTCTTTCTATTTTTAACATAGTTAAGAATTAACATACATTTTTTAAGGCCAGGGAAAAGTATCATATTGGGAAATTTTAAAAAATATTTCTAATTGCATTTTAAATTACTCCCATTTTCTGAGCTTGATTTTTATCCTTTGGGTGTCAGGAGGATACCATATGATGTACGAGGATAAATCAAAAAGTATTGCTACAAAGTCATAGAAACCTTCATTAAACAAAACTCTCAAAATGGGAAGTTGTTGGCTCTCAACATGTTCGCCCTCTAAGTCTATGCACTTCTGAAATTGGTATTTTCATCACTCTAACCCTGTCCTGAAGCACTTTACACTCTTCTGTGCCTACCACATCAAAACAGCAGTTTTAGCATCCTTGATGGCCTCAAACCGTGCTCCTTTTAAATGTTCTTTACATTTGGGGAGCAAGAAGTCTGAAAGGACAAGATCAAGGTTGAAGGGTGGTTGGGGTAAGATTTCCCAATCTCAGCGGGTAGTCCATACCACCCTCAGAGAATGAGCATGAGCATTGTCACACACAACAATAGCAAAGTCACTGCCATCGAGGTGATGCCAACTCATAGCAGCCCTGTAGGACCAAGTCGAACTGCCTCAATGGGTTTCGGAGACTCCTTCCCAGAGCAGAAACCTCCTCTTTCTCCTGAGCATTGTCAAGATGGAAAGAAATCCCTCCATGCAAAATCCCTTGCTTTTTTCTCACTAATGTAGTTTTCAGTTTTCTTAAAACTTCATAAGAAGAACCTGTGATTGTCCTGTGTCCTTCAAGAAAATGTGTCAAGATGATCCTTTTAAGGAAAAAAAAAAAAGATGATCACTTTAGGATAGTGCCCAGCTATCACTTTCTCATCACTCTGAAAAAGATCATCCTAGAAAGTCCTGGAGAGGGTAGGAGGACAAGGAGAAACAAGACTCAAACTCATGAATAAAAGACCACACGTACTGCACAGATGGAGACTTGGAAGCCCCTGAGACTCGGGCCCTTAGTCTCCCTCCTTCAGGCCTGGAAATGAACTCGAGCCTGTGGCTCAAGTTTCATCCAAACAATAGGTCTAGATGGTGAAATGTGACATTAGGGAAGTAGACACTCCTTAGCACAATCTAGGACTCAGCTCTGGTTATGAGCCCTTCCATTAAATCATCTTTGATCCTGTTTAAAAGACCAAGGAGCCTTTTCAGCTAGCTGATCTTCATGCAATGCTTTTGGCACCCATACAAACTGAACTAGAACTTGCCACGCTGTTCTATTACAATGGAATGTCCTGAACCATGTAAGATTCCACCTTCAATAGCTCTTGTAATGGTAATTCCGCTGTCTTCATGGGTCTGGACTTCAGCCATCATGGTTGAGGTGGTCCCTCTTTTGACTCATCTTTGACGGATTCCCGAGTTGCCTTAAAATGGTTGATGCATCTCAGAACTGTTTTGTTTCCTTGTTTTCCATTTGGGGCAGCATTCTCATAAACCTACAGTAAAACTTCCATGATTTGGAAAGATGATCACTTGAGTTTTATTAAAATTTGGTATTAGCTCTGAGCTCAAAATCCTCTTTTTCTCCAATGGCACAAAAAGTATCTTTTTTTTTTTTTTTTTTTTAAGATTCCCTCATGAAACGAACACATAGATATTACTGGGAGATTAGCCCCTTGTGCAGTATGTTGCTGCCAATTTTTCTCCAGTCTCTATGTTCTCTTTTTACTCTTCTGGTGAAATTAGTGGTATGTTTAAACATGTTTTCCTTGGAATTAATCTAAGCATGTGTGAGCTGAAACCCTGGAAGCAATAGTTTTTGATTTACCCTTGGTATTGCGCTTCAGAAATAATGAATACCTTCGCCACCCGCGATACTCTAAATTGTGAGCTATCCAGTGTGAGTCAAACAGATTCTAACACAGCTAAGCATTTTTATTTTTATTTATTGAATTAATCAAAATTTGAATCCCAATTCAATCACTCAGGAGCTATGGGTCTCAGCTTTCTAATCTGTAAACTAGACATAGTAATCCAAGGATGTTGTAAAGATTAAATGAGAGAAAGCACGTGAAGCACTTAGTTCACTGCCTGGAATCTTGTTTCCTTCCAATCCTTTTCCTACACTCCCCATTAGCATATGAGCCAATAAGGCTAGATGTGTGCATCCTCTCCTTCCTTACCAAAGAGCTGAATAAGTATCTTGTTTGCTTGCGACTGTTGCTGTAAAATATATTAGTTTGAGCCCACAGAATTTTTATTTATATAAATAGTATTGTATAATATATCTCATTGTAGTTTTCATTCTGCTCCTATTATAGTTTGGGGAAAATATATAATCTATTATAACTTATTATTCCAAGGCAAACTCAAAGCAAGATTTTTATAGAAGTGATGCCCAAAATTATTTAGAACAACTTTATCTGAAGGGATTAGTCATAGCATACAAAGCAAACATCAGGGAGCTTCAAAAAGTTCATGGGAAAATTCCACTGTACTTTAATTCCTTTCTCTTTTTTTGTAATCACTTCTTAGCCTTTTGGCTGAGATCAACTGTAGTTTCTGTTCTTGTCAGTTTAATTCCATTTTTCACAAACTTTTTGAAGTCCGGGAGATTTTTATCTTAGGTATGGGGTGGGAGGATGCATAGAGTGAGCTAATCATATTCTTCGATTCACGATTCATGCTCATCATTGGTCTGCGTATGGCTCCTCCTCTCTTTTGTTTATTCATCCTGCTCAAGACCCATTGCCTTACTCTTACCTCCTTCAGTCCAGCATAGGCAAACATACCATGAGTTAAATGGGTTATTTTTTGGTTTTGTAGGAGTTCTTGCAAAACATTATCTTCCATGAAGGTAATTTTAACTTATGCAAGTATTTTGTGGGGGCGGTCTTATTCTTTCTCCCGCTTTCTACTCTCCATGCTTTCCAATGCATATAGATGGCGATGAGCAATCTACTGAGCTGCTTCTAATTCCTACCCTGTTCCCATGATGTGCAGCCACCGCTTTTCTCCTAGTGGCTCAGCAGACTATCCAACCACCTATCACCACAAAGAATGCTGAAAGGATTTTCTTATATTAACTGCTACGTGTTAATGCAACACATCTGGGGCTAATGCTACCTTTTTTCTTTTTTTTTCTTTTTGCTAAGTAATTGCGGTACTTGACTTCTTGTTCAGTTGTCATTTAGAGCCCAGCAGCTGCACATAGAAGATAACCTGCCCAAACTAGACTTAAGTTAGACCCCCACATCATGTGCAAAGCTTTTCAGTCAAAATAATAATCTTATTAAACAGACCCAACAAAACTTCCTAGGTTTCTGAGCACAAAGCTCTGAACACTGCCTATATGCCTGCACAGAGAATTAAACATTGCATGGCCCTTTCAATTGAAGTGTATGTGAATTCAACTAATCCTCAGGGTTACTCTACTAGAGCTATGTATACCTATCTGTCCATTTCCTTGTAAATCTGAAATCACTGCCATCAAGCTGATTCTGATGTAGCTACCCTATATCGAGGGTTCCCAAGGCTTGGTAATAATAAACCTTTGTGGGAGCAGACTGCCTCATCTTCCTCCCTTGGAGCAGCTGATGGTTAATCGAATGCTTACCTTACAAGACCACCCAAACCCCCAACTATTCGGAAGTCAGCTCTGAGGAGCCTTCTTCTTGGTAACTTGTTCAGAACTTTGTATGGTACCCAGAAGTTGGGTTTTTGTGTGCACTGGGCAGGGACTCTTTCTGGTACGTTTACAGATGGACCTGTGTGAAATTTTCTTTTCTATTACTGTATAATTTTTATAAACAATGAAACTAGAATTTTGATCACTAAAGTGAGAAACACACCAGAAACCACTCTAACTCAAATCTTCTAACTCCTAATTCAGACTCTGTTTTACACAATTTCTTCTCAGAATCTGGGTCTTTGGATGCTTGTGGTAGATCATAGTACTTTGGTTATTTAAACCTCAACTTGAAGGAATTCTTATCCTGGAACTCATATTAGGGTGAAACTACCAACTAACGAAATTCCTACACCACAAGTAGACACTGGCCCTTGAACTCACTTTGCCAAACTTCCTTCGAGCTTATAAGTCTTCTTCTTCCAACTCTCCTTGACAGGACATTTGAGCAGGTCAAAGCAATAAGAGTATCTATTTGATCCCAGCACCCTCTCCACTCTATTCACAAATCATGTAAAAAACACCAATATCGTTTATCTTCCTACCTCCTCACTTCCAGTCCTGGGCATAACGTAAAAAGTTTCTGGATGCTGAATGCCCATTAATTGTAATATATATGGATACATTATATGGATTACTTTTAGCTGTTTTTAAAATTAAAATGAGTCTTCTCACTTATTTTGCTCACCATATTATTATTTGAGAATCACCATGTTGTTTTTAGTGCTGTATCAGACAACTCACAATATTTATTCAGCATTCACAGTTCTTCTTAAGCCTTCGATCAAAATAGCGATGTGCAGAGGATTCATGGCTTACTTGCCAGTGTCTAAGTCAGTAGATCTGTTTCCACTAGATGGCTGTCTTTACCAAGAACTGTGAGAACTAGGCCACTTTATAGCAATTTGCAAGAGTTTAAAGTTTATCTTTCTTTAAAACATATATATATATTTTTTAATTAGGCTAAATTTTGGGATCAGCTCATTAGTTTACATTCAACAATTCCTACATATCCTAATTCAACTGACCTATTCCAATCCCTTCAATTGTAATTGAACCCCTTATTCCACTTCCTTCCTGTTTCTTGTTTCCATTTGTCTTTCTTCTTTTTGAACAGTTTTATTGGCATATAATTAACAAATCATACAACTCAATAATTCAATCACAACAAGAAGAGTTATGCAATCATCACCAATTAATTTGAGAACATGTTCTTCATTCCTGTCTTCATCATCATTAGCTCATCCACCACCCCCCACCCTCCCCTGTCATACATCCAAAGAACCATTAATGCAGTTACTGTCTATAGATTTACCTATCCTGGATTTCATATACAGAAAAAATTTAAAAAGCTAACAACAATAACGAAGAAAAACCTCGATCAAAGCAGAAAATATTAAAAGCTAAAGCAAATTTGAAATGGATAAAGGGGGATCAAATGATGAGGTGCTACATTTTAGCCTAACTGCATCTGCAGTAATCCACTTCCCAATGCACTCTGCACGAGAGCAGGACTATTGACATCCTGGTCCAGGGTCAGGGGGGATTCTCCAGAGGCTAAATTCACGTGTATTTTTCCTTCACTTTGTTTTTTTCTTAACTGAAACAACTTTAAAATGGGTCAAAATGGAGATCAGATTATATGATATTACATTTTAACTTAACTACATCTGCCCCATTGTAAAGCATTGGCTTTATAATGCTCTCTGCCTAATAACAAAACTTTTCCCATCCCTCATCAGAGGGGAATTACTGGAGGCTTAATCCACGAGTTGACCCTGTACAGTCCATAATTCATATACTGTTGTTCATAGCTGGCCTATACTTATATAATTTCCTTTTCTTAACAGTGTTTTAAATTCTATACCATTGGATAAACTAATGATACCAGCAATGTATACTGATTTTGTACTGGAGTGCTAACCACAGGTCAGCAGTTCAAAACCACCAGCAAACTCTGAGAGGGAAGAATGATCTTTCTGGTCCTGTGAAAATTTGTAGTCTCAGAGACTCACAGGGAAAACCCTACCCTGTCCTATAGCATTTTTATGAGTGTATTGACTCAATAGCGGTAGAAGTGATGTCTTCAAACAAGCAGCCATCTAAGTGAAGTGTCAACTAAGTCCACATGGAAGCAGCATACAGCCTGGGTGATCCAAAGATGGTAAATAATATAATACAAATCCATTTTTCTTTTTTAACCCTCTAAATTTACCTTAGGTAATTCTGCCCTTTTGATGTTTTCACGTGTGGATATGAGTTCAGTTCCAGACCCAACAGGTCAGGGCTACTGTCTTGGGGTTCTCCAGTCTCTATCCAACCAATAAAGCCTACTCTCTTCATGATTTTGAGACCTACACTACATTTTTCTCCCACTCTGTCTAGGACCTATTAGCATAATCCTTTTCAGCGAAGTTGGTAGTGGTATCCAGGCACCATCTAGTCCTTCTGGTCTCAGGGTTGTGGTGTTTACATGGTCCACTGGACTAATTTTTTCTAAGTGTCTTGATTTTTGTCACTCCTCTTTCATTTGAATGGGGAGCATCAACCAGGTACACTGTAGATGGTTGCTCATGAGCTGTTAAGAACCCAGTCACTGCTTATCAGATTGGAACATAGAACATTGTGAACTGTGTTATGCTCATTGACACTGGTGCCCCCAGGACTAGAGTCCTAACCTCCAAGGCCTAGAGACTCCTGCCCTCAAGGTATTTGGTTATGTCTAAAAAGTTGTCAAACTTTGTCCCCTCTAGTTCTTAAATGCTTCCTCCCCCCCCCCCCCCCCCCCCACTATCATGATCCCAATTCTACCTTACAAATCTGACTAGACCAGAGGATGTACACTGGTACAGATAGCAACTGAAAAGACAGGGAATCCAGGACTGATGACTCCTAGTGGTGAGAGTGGCAATGCCTGGAGGGTGGAGGGAATGTGGGGTAGAAAAGGGGAACAAATTACAAGAATCTACGTATAGCCTCCTCTCTGGGGGATGGACAGCAGAGAAGAGGGTGGGGGTAGACGTTGGACAGTGTAACTTATGAGAAAATAATAATTTATGAATTCTGAAGGGTTCACGAGAGCAGGGGGAGTGGGGAAGGAGTGGGGGAAATGAGCAGCTGATACCAAGGGCTCAAGTAGAAAGCAAATGTTTTGAGAATGATGATGGCAACAAATGTACATATGTGATTGACACAATGGATGGATGGATGGATTGTGATAAGAATTGTATGAGCCCCCAATAAAATTATAAAAAAAAAAAAGAAGAAGCAAGTTCTTGGTCAAGAACTGGAACTCTAAATGTTACTCCCAGAAATCCATCCACCCCCCTCCTAGTTGTTCTCCCACACTGATAACCACTATTCTGGAATTTAATCTCGTAGATTACATTTGCCTTTTTTAAAAATTAAAATGAATATTCTCACTAATTTAACTTATAATATTTTCAGAGAATCGCCATGTTGTTTTCACTGTTGTAGTTAACAACTTACTATTCATTTGACTAATGATGCACATGAGCATGATTTCTAAGTTAAAGCTATTGTAAGAGAGCTAGAATCAATTTCTGCATGCATTTCTTTGGATGTGATTATAAAAGTGGAATTAATAGGTCAAGAAATGTACCAATATGTTCAGCTTTAGTGGACATTGCCAGTTTCCCAGACTGGTTATGCCCATTGCACTCCCTCCAGCAGGATGTGAGTTTCATTGATCCACATCCTCACTAATACTTGGTATTTATTCCTTTAAATCTGATGGCTATGTATACCTCATTGTGATTTTAAATAGTATTTCCCTGAAGAATAAATAAGATTGCTTATATCTTAGTCGTTATGAATGTCTCAGTCTTTTGTTCATTTTTCCTTTTTTATTAATTTGTAGGAGTTTCTTTACATAGTTAGGGATTGTTAAGTCAGTGGTCACATACAAATATATTGTTACTCTTTTCACCCACTCTAGTGATTGTCTTTTCATTTTCCTAATTGTATCTTTGATTATCCAGATCTAGTTTATGCTTTTATTTCTCAACAG